TCAATGGGGAGCGGATATTCTTCCAACAAATAGTGCAGAGACAACTGACCACACAGACCACATGACTCTCTCTTGTCTTTCTCTTGGCCCAGTTTACACATTTCTCATACCTGCTTTGTGTCTGCAAGCATTTGATTTTTCAAACTTGATCCAGTCCAACCATTCACCCAATGCTTGAATGCTGCTTATCATTTCCCTAAGAGGTTTTAGCGTATCCTTGAATAAGTGTAATGGCCAGGGATCTCCTTACATTGGGCTGCATTACTTAAATCAGTAGTTCTTTACAGGGAGAATTTTTAAATTATGTGATTATTTTTATTTTTTATAGCAGTTGGAGGACGATGCTGGTACTTAGAGGGGATGGATGCATAGAGAAGCTAGATGTCCCACTATGCATATGTCAGCTTTGCACAATAGAGAATGATGGTGCATGACCTTCAAATATCTCATCAACATTTGTGTAGGGGAAAATTGGTTTACAATTATTTATTATGACAAAGTTTCAGTCTTCATAGTTATAAACTAAAATTTCCAGGAATGCAGTACTCTTTAAACCAAGGGAATATTGCACAATGTTTCCTGAGCATTGTTCGCCGTTTCAGAAAATCATATCAACAAAACAATGTCACTCATTATAATTGAATGACCAATATAACATGCCAGTGTTATTTGGCACACATAGCTGTCACATGCAAATATATAGCAAAGGAAACCCGAGACTCTTTTTAAGAGACTTAGACTTAAATATTACGAAATTAGCAAAGATACACAAGATGCAGGGATCTCACTGAATTGTATTAATAAAGATTGTTTTTATGTTTCATATTATTGCCATCACATATGTTTTTAAATTTTTGTGAATAACAGTAAGAGATCTGGATTATAAAACTTACATATTGAAAGTATTTATTCATTTGGGGGGTTACCTGTTTTTGCCAGTGTACATAGATTCTGTCTCTGCCATTGTTTTTTTGTGGTTTCTTTTATTACTGCTTCTTTTTGCCGTACACCTTCATTCCTCATAGTTTATCAAAGGATATGGTCTCCCGGGTCTTTCTAAGTGCCAGAGACTGATTGTGAGCCTCAACATGTGGAGGAATTCAAGGCAGGAGATATGTTTTCAGAGATACTTTGTCACCATCCCGTCATAACATTGGGAATTATTTTGACATTGCACTTATAAATAAGGCCCAGCTCGTTTGTGCTAATATCATACTTCATCATTTTCTCTGTTTCCAAAGTCTGTAATTTGTCTTGGCATGTTATCTTTATTTCAATTAAGATCATTTCCCTCTTTTTCTTATAGACAAATAAGTCTGGTCTGTTAGGACTTATTTTTATTTTAGTGACCATTTATATTTCCACTGTTTTATCTTCCTGAATTTCTTGTACTGAAGGGTTTCTGACCTTAGCCCTCTTAAATCCCAGTGTGTTCACTCGGGAGGTGCAGGCATCGATCATCATCATCAAGTCTTCTGGATTAGCTTTGCCTGCGCATTTACATATTGAAATACATTATTTTATCATAAAGGACTCTCTTTTATTCCACTGACAGTGCTATTCTGAGTTGTAGTGGAACTGAGGCTCCTTTGTGCTTCTTTTTTTTTTAATTTTTATTGTTATGTTAATCACCATACATTACATCATGAGTTTTTGATGTAGTGCTTCTTTTTTTTTAATATTTTATTTATTTATTTGAGAGAGACAGAGATAGTGAGAGAGAGCTCGAGCAGGAAGGAGGGAGAGAAGCAGACACCCCGCGGAGCAGGGAGCCCGATGCAGGGCTCGATCCCAGGACCCTGGGATCATGACCTGAGCCGAAGGCAGAGGCTTAACCATCTGAGCCACCCAGGAGCCCCATGATGTAGTGCTTCTTATAAGCATTCTCTGAGCTGAACCAAAATACAAGCATTGTGGAGCCCTGTCCACATCTTCATTCTTTCACACCTTGCAGCCCAGAGGAGCCTCTGAGGTCTGGCCAACGCAGCAACCAAGAGGGTCTACCTCACGGGTTTTCTCTTCTTCATGGTAAAATTCCCAGTTGCTTTAGCCACTCCTTATGTGACAGAGTTTCAAATGTTGAAATATTGGTAGCAAGTGCTTTCAACTCTATTTCTACAATGGCTTTGGGGTCAATTCCCTAACTCTCTCTGATTTATTTTTAATTTTCACTTGTGTTCTTTCTATAATGTCCTAATTAATTCCCCCACTTGGTTTCCCCTTCCAGTTCTACTATCACAGAAGCCAGTTGACCTCTGAAGTATCACACCTCTGAAGGTGTGATCGTGGAGCTCTTCTGCTCAAAGACTTTCTTTTTTTTTTTCCCAAAGATTTTGTATTTATTTATAATTTATTTATTTATGACCGAGAGAGACACAGCGAGAGAGGGAACACAAGCAGGGGGAGTGGGAGAGGGAGAAGCAGGCTTTCCGCTGAGCAGGGAGCCCGATGCGGGGCTCAATCCCACGATGCTGGGATCATGACCTGAGCCAAAGGCGGACGCTTAACGACTGAGCCACCCAGGCGCCCCCCTTTTTTTCCAAAGAATTTCAATTTATTTATTTCCCTCCCTGTGTATATACATGTATGTATATGTACTTATTATATGTGTTACATATAAAATATATATAACACCTCTTACTGTTTCTCATTTTTTTCCTGAATTAAGTCCAAATCCCTTAATTATTTATTTATTTATTTATTTATTTATTTTTAAAGATTTTATTTATTTATTTGACAGAGAGACACAGTGAGAGCAGGAACACAAGCAGGGGGAGTGGGAGAAGGAGAAGCAGGCTTCCTGCGGAGCAGGGAGCCCGATGTGGGGCTCGATCCCAGGACCCTGGGATCATGACCTGAGCCGAAGGCAGATGCTTAACGACTGAGCCACCCAGGTGCCCCTAAATTCCTTATTATTTAATTAGCGATTTTCTTAATGCTGATCTCAAATAACTTACCCAGTATTCTTTCTTTTTTCTTTTTTTTAAGATTTATTTGTTTATTTGAGAGAGAGAGCACAAACAGAGGGAGGGGCCGAGGGGGAGGGAGAGAGAGAGAACCCCAAGCAGACTCCTCACTGAGAGCAGAGCCTGATGTGGGACTCTGTCCCTTGACCCTGAGATCACGACCCCAGCCGAAATCAGACACTCACCTGACTGAGCCACCCAGGCACCCCCCAGTATTATTTCCTTCAATCCTCTATACTTTTGCTTTGCTTACACTTTTGCCACACTGGTAGTTTTCAACTCCCCAAGCTCAATAATTGATTCAGTTCTTCACACTTTTTAAACAATTTCATTTGCCTGGAATGACCTCTTCATTTCTTTGGGCATCTTTGCTATCCTTCAAACACATATTCAGTTGTTGATTCTTTCCTGAGCTTGTGCTGATTGACATCTCCTTCCTCTGAATTCTGAGGCCCCTTTATGTTCTCTTACAACATTAGATGATACCACATATATGTTGCATATTTTCTATTTCCCCTACAAAAAATCAACTTCCTTGGTGAAATGACAGGGCATAGAATTAAGAATGTGAACTCTGGAGCCATACCTAACACTTACTAGCTATTTGGCTGTCGTAGATACCCAGTGTCTAGAGTGTATTAAGCATGTCTTTTTAATTCTAATGCTTTGTTATCTGGGAAATTACTGAGCCTGCAGGACTTACCTGCCCCTCCTAGCGCGAGCCAGTTCTTAGAGATGGTAAATGACTAGCCTGTGAGCACATTTTTTTTTTTAATACCTTATTTATTCATTCTGAGAGAGAGAGAGAGTGCAAATGGGTGGAGAGGCAGAGGCAGAGGGAGAGAGAGAATCTCAACCGGACTCCAAGCAGATGACCAAGCCCCATGTGGGGCTTTGATCTCACAACCCTGAGATCATGACTTGAGCTGAAATCAAGAGTTGGAAGCTTAACTGACTGAGCCATGCAGGTGCCCCTGTGAGCACATCTTTCATATGCAAGCTAACCAATCCAAAGCCTCCCCTACCTACCTCCTCTGTCGGGTTCTTACATGCCAATAATTCCCTGCTTCAATCACCCCAGGACTAGGCACCAAGCAACTTGGAAAAAGGCTGGAGTCTGGAGCCCCTGAAATTATTCAAACTAGAGAATCTTAAGCCTGCCTACTCTGCCTTGCTTTTTCCTTCCAATGGAAATCTCTTGCTCGCACTTTCCGTCAACTTCCTTTGTCTCCTAATTTTTTTTAAAGATTTATTTATACCAGGGAGAGAAAGAGAGCTCGAGAGGGAGAGAGAGGAGGGAGGGGGGAGAGGGAGAGGGAGAGAGAGAATCCTCAGGCCGACTGCTCCCCACTGAGTGCGGAGCCAGACACAGGGCTTGAACCCAGGACCCTGAGATCATGACCTGGGCCAAAATCAAGAGTTGGCCACTTAACCACCTGAGCCACCCAGGTGCCTCTTCCTTTGTCTCCTGACTCTGGTGCTTCCTTTTGTGGCCCTGTATAGCATGGCATGTCCCCTCCACTTGGGAACTATTCATGACAATTTGTCTTTTCAGTGGCAGTCATCTCCTGATCTGTTAGCCTCACTATACCTGAATAATAATAAAACCTACATATAAAAACGAAGTGCATGTTGGGAGGGCCAAGTGAGGTAATCTTTGTAAAGCAGAGATCAGTGCCTGATACATAAGTGGCACTGCATGAGCATTTGCTGTTAGTGAGGGCAATGATGGTATATAAAACATCTTTGTGTTCTCCCAGGGTTTTTTTTTTTTTTTTTTAAAGATTTTATTTATTTATTTGAGAGAGAGAATGAGATAGAGAGAGCATGAGAGGGGGAGGGTCAGAGGGAGAAGCAGACTCCCTGCCGAGCAGGGAGCCAGATGTGGGACTCGATCCAGGGACTCCAGGATCATGACCTGAGCCGAAGGCAGTCGCTTAACCAACTGAGCCACCCAGGCGCCCCCTCCCAGGGGTTTTTGCACATAGTAAGTTCTCAATAAATATGACTAATAAAAGAATGCAGCTCTTTAAATAAAAGTAGCTAGTCCTAAAAAGTTTTCATTGACAGAGAGCAAGAACAAATTCATAAATAGATTAGGAAAAGAGTTTTCGATTAGCAATAATCGCGCCTCGGATAAACCTCATTGGCTACGATACTGCCACTGCGCAAAGCTGGATTAGGAAAAGAGAATAATCAAGAAGAAAACAAGACAATAACCAAAGGAAAATGTTAGCATTGATAATTTGAAGGGGAGTTGGGTGGGAGCCAGGGAGCTGAATAAAGCTGAAATCAGAGAAATAGACTGCCATAAAGAAAAGAGATAAGAGGTAACAGGAGATAAAAATCTAAAGGGATGTAGAACCTTAGAGAAGGATCCAAAAGGAATAGGGAAATCAAAACTAAATTTTTAACATTAAAACCTAATTACACATTCCCTGCTCAGGGTGTTCAGGTGTGACCTACCCATCTGCAGACTTTGATACTGACAAAAAGGGGGGAATAAAGAGCTATTCTGTGCGTGTGCTTAGGGCCAAAGTAAGAACTGCGTGAAATGATTCCATTTTCACTACATGAATTTTCACTTATGAAAAATTAGACTTTTGCAGAAACTATGAATTTATAAGGACTAAAATTGTGTCATTTCTACCACAGAACAGTAGATTGTCATAGCACAGAAAATAAATACAAGTGGCACAATTCCATGTCAGTAATACATCCGCAACTCACTAATATTGCCCCTGGCAAAAAATTTGCTGAGCTATATAATGTTAAAGGAAAAAGAGCTCTTTGGTAAAAAGGATGGGCTTTTACCTGTGAGAAGTCACCTGTCATGGAAGAGGGAAAGAACAACTTAAAAACTAACAGAAAAAAATGCAAGTTGATTTTGTTAGGCATGTATCTCATCTTTCTCACCAATGGTGAGATTTTTTTTCCCTCACTGTTCTGGAAGAGAAAGCAAAGCTGAACTCGGCCAAAGTGTCCTATATGAAAACAAAAACAAAAACAAAAAAACTATGTCCATAAGCTTAGAAAAGCACAATGTTTCATTTTAAATTTTTTTTAGGAAATATGACAAATACAAAAACAGAACAGATGTTATGTCTCTAAGCAACATCATCTTTGACACATCTTGAAATTTTGTGAAACCTGCTCTATTTTATTTCTAACTTTTTATATCATAAAGGAAGGAAGACAGAAATGTTTGGTTTTTGTGTTTCCTGGGGTTGTTAGTGAATTCTTTGCTTTTTTTCTACCACACCACAAGCAAATACTTGCTCTTAGGCTTTCTCCATCTGTAATCAAAGGGTCGTTTACATACAGTTACTCATTTTATTTAATTTAACTGTGCAGCATAATTATTATTTACAGATTGTGAAGAAATATCTAAAAACTATGCTAGTACTAAACGTATTGCGGTATGGTATAAATATATTATTGTGTCACCTCTGCAACCCTTTAGGCAAAATTACTATTTATTTTCAAAAATAAATTTATGAATCACAAAAAGAAAATATACACAGAAAATTTGAGTTCTTTACCTGGCACAACAAATCAATGCCACAGTCAACAGCTTTGTCCTTTATTTATTAAGACCTAACATACAATGATGAAATTATTAGACAAAGTAATGAGTCTCTATCAATCTGTCTTTAGTTTTATAAAACCCAGCTTTACTCTGTCAGCCTTGTCAATGCTACTGAATATTAATGGGAATAAAGTTAATTGCTGGGTGGAAAAAGGTCTTACTCGAAGTGAAAAGGAAGCACCTTGTTGAAATCTGTCGTTTTTGACAAGCCATAATTTGTTTCTACTTAGTGATATGTACCGACAGGTTTCAACCTCACTCTTATCTTTACCACAGATTCTAATTATTTTCATTTGGGAAGTTGTTGGATCCTGAGCCTCTGACCACTTTCATCATTTAGAAATAAATTGTTTCATGAAAGGTGCTTATACATTCTGAGTGAAAGGAGTTTTGCCTCGAGTATAAGGAAGCAACTGCCTTCCACAACCTTTAAAAGACATACAAATATACTTACTGTATCTTAGTGACCAAGGAGGAAGGAAGAGCAATGACTTTCAGAACAAGAAAGGGTTATACGTGAACCTAATAACTTTCTAGCATAGCTACATGCTAGTTAAACCACTTCATTCAAAGAAATGAATAATGAATAATCACTTAAGGTTCATCCTGATTAGATTGTCACCTGATTGGAAACATAACAGTCAGTTGTGTTAAGAATCTTAAGAACTTTCCGTTAAATTTTAAACAGTTGGAACGTTAAAACAATACATATATATATTTTTTAAATCAGTCGTCTATCAAATGCAGTGCCATTCTTCACTGAGTCGAGTTTAGGAAATAAGCTTGAAAATGAGCACTGGCCAGTTCATAAGGTTCTTATGAGAAAGGACCAAATTAAGATGAGGTGATAAAATGAAAATACATTTACTATTGTCTATTTCCTCTTCATATAGCCTTGTAGCTGCTTTTTTTTATAAGAATCTACATTTATTGTTGGAAACTTTGACTGACCTACTCTTAGCTGAAGGCTTATTGTGGTCCTTACCCAAATAATAAAGAAAGCAGTAGAAAGAAAAAAAAAAAAGTAGCTAGAAGGAAAAGGGGTTGTTTGACGGAATCAACACAGGGTTTTGTTTTTAGAAATTAGACTGTATGGCCTAGTGATTTTGGTAATGATTTAATACATGAAATCCATCTGTCCTCATGGCCTGGCCTCTTAGAGTTGGCTGTAGATTTTTCTCTGTATTTGGCACCTACATCTAATAACATTTCAGGAACCTGCTCTTTTCCCCTTGGCTAAAAGTAAGTGCCGCGTGTGACTGGCCAGCAGATTGGGTGGCGTTTATGTTGTGGTTCTTAGTCATCCCAATTTTTCTCCACCACATCCCAGTCACAATGGGGAAAAAATGAAAAGCAGCTGCTAACAGCCTCACAACAGTTCTGTAATTACTTTCCTGGGCTGGCATTATATGATTTGACAATGGCCTGGGGATGTAACAAATAAGAAAAACCTTGTCATTCAATGTAAAAGGCTTCCTACCAGGGCAGCACACTCCCCACTTCATCAGAATGACAGTACTCAACTCTGACACAGCCAGTGTGTTTAGTGCTGAGCGATGTAACTGCAGCCAGGTGGTGCCAAGCACAAACAGCCAACTTGCTTTCCTGTTGACACCGCCGTTGAATTGAAAGAGGAATCCTAACATAGGCCAAAGATTCGCATCTCAGTTCCAAAAAGCACCAACCTATTTATTCCAAGGAGAAATGCTAATATATTATAGTTAAAAGAGCAGTTTTTAGAGATGCAGTCTTGCTTTGCCAAAGATTTCAAGTTTCCTCAATGATAACATGTGCCATTTTCATAGCTTCGCATAATCAAGTTTCATCCGACCTGTCTGAGACAATATTAGGAACTGGTTCTGTTGGTTGGTCATGGTAGACTAGCTATCACAAAAATCTATCCCAATTATCACGGAGTTAGAACTATAAATATTTTAGCCCTCATTCCCATCCGTGTCCATTAAAGAGTTTGGTGAGTGGCCTTCTACCCTGTGATTCAGAGACTCAGCCTCCTTCCATGCAGTGATTCCATCATCTTCTCAGGTCTCTGAATCCCCCACTGTATCCTATCCTTCTGACCAGAGCACAAGGAAAGAGAACAAAATCGTAAGGCAAATTTAAGAACTCAGTCTGGGAGGTGCAATCCTGTTTTACTGAATTTCCACCCCATTCTGTTGTCCAGAACTACTCTCAAGATGAACAGGGCTGAGAAATGGAGTTCAGCAGTATACCAAGGAAGAGATAGTGTCAGTCCCCGCCATGTTTAATTGCACAATAAGGTGGAGGACCATTAATCATTGCAGCTTACAATCACTTAAAAGTAACCTATGCAAGACCATTAAATTATCATGTTCCCTAGCACACTGCACAGCTCTTGTCCACTAGTATCAGTGATGAAATATATTTTTTGAAAGCAATTTTTAGCACTAGTAGTGTCATACTAGTCATAATTATACTTTAATAGGAAGTTCACTAGAGGGGAAAGAAAAAAATTCTTTTTTTTTTCCCTCCAGGAGGTATTGATCTAGTCTTTTTTTTTTTTTAAGATTTTATTTATTTATTTGACAGAGAGAGACACAGCGAGAGAGGGAACACAAGCAGGGGGAGTGGGAGAGGGAGAAGCAGGCCTCCCACAGAGCAGGGAGCCTGATGCGGGGCTCGATCCCATGACCCTGGGATCATGACCTGAGCCGAAGGCAGACGCTTAATGACTGAGCCACCCAGGCACCCCGGTATTGATCTAGTCTTAAAACCTAAACAAAGTATTCATTCACTCAACAAGTGCACTGAGTAACTACTATGTGTCAGGTGTTGTTCTTGGTACTTGAAATGCATCAGTGAGCAAAAAGACAAAAATCCCTGTCCTCATGAACCTTGTATTCTAGAGGAGGTAGAAGTAACAATAAACATAAGAAATCAGTACATTACATGGTATAAATAAGATGGTGAATACAAAATAACGAATACTTAGAGGGGGTATTGATGTGGTTGGAATAAGCCTCATTAAGAAGGTAATATTTACTAGACTTGAAAGAGTGAGGGATTATAAATGCAAGTATCTGGAGAAGAAGCATTTTAAGTAGAAGGAAAAGCAGTTGTAAGGGCACTATGGTAAGGGCAAACCTTTCATGTTTGATGAATGTTAAGAGACAGTATGGCTGGTGTGAAGTGAGTGATAGAGAAAAATAGAATGAGAAGAGATCCAAGATCCAAGGGACCAGTTCATGTAAGGCTTTATGGGCTACTGTAAAGACATTGGCTTTTTCCCTGCATGAAGTAGGAAGGCATTGGATTTCAGTTTTGAACAGAAGAAAGATTTTATATGACCTAGGTTTTATCAAGTTTATTCTTGCTGCTATGCTGTGATTAGTGCAAGAGAAATGAGCCAGTTAAGACATTAAAGTAACAATTCAGGTGAGAAATGGTAGTGGATTTATGAGACTACATCAGTGGAGATGGAGAAAGTGTTTGGATTCCTATTATATTTTTAGTCTTCTTTATATTTTGAACAACAGACCCTCTTTGTGGATTGGATATGGGGTGTGAGAAGAAGGGAGAAGTCAAGAAAGACGAAGATTTTTGGCACA